CATTCAAATACACTGGCGTCGCGTAGTGGTGAAATGATGGAACTGATCGCTATTACTGTCTCTGTTGCATGCTATTGCACTCTTTGTCTACGAATGGTACTGCCATCTAAGCATTTTTTCAACTTTGACTGGAATTAAAAGGACGAACAGGAAAACTTTAATAGATGGCAGCACTATCTTTGTTCTTATCGACAGTGGAATTTCAGGAAATTGACGATAATTCTTTTGAACAAATGGCGGTGAACGTACAAAGATGGTACTTGTGTTTTCTTTCAGCGACAGGCAGATCAATTTCTACCATTACGACAGGGGATTGGGAATTTATAGCACAGACGATATCTCGTCCGTGATTGAAGACAGTGACTTTTGAAGGATCAAGTAATTTTCAATTTTTCAGACGCTACGATCGATACGAAAGGAATTCGTCGATTGGAATATGTCGTTTATCGATCATACACGAGAACGTATTGATCCTGCCTCCGGATTAATGCCAGACTCGAATTTCTCTCTCGTGAAAACACGACTGACGTGCAACTGATAAGCGTTGGTAATTAAACTGATTGACGTCTCGTTTATGACCGCGTCTATAACCACAAATTGTCATTTTAACGAATCACTGTCCTCGCAACGATAGAAAAGCGATCGGTGGGGATTTCGAATCCGCTTCAAAGCTATCAGTTCGATCGGCGTTAACGGAATGCCACATCAATTGTCGATGAATTTAAATTCAGAATCGATGAACTCCGTCGACATGTAGAGGGGAGAACGTGTAAAACGAAATATGTTCGTTTCTTTCCCTTCGTATACTCGGCGAGATGCACGGGTAAAGGAAACGCGAAAGAAATTCACACTGTTGTTTTAGCTTTTTTTCCGGTTTTTCTTACAAAAATACCTCTTTATTGTAAATGGATCGTCGACGGTAGTTACACGGAAAGACAGTCATCCATCCACAGAGAAGCGTTGGGGGATCCCGACAATCTCAACGGCGAGGAAAATTTTTTCTTTTTTTTCTTTTTGCGCTTCGATATTTTTTTTTCTTTTTTTTACATTTTTGCTTTTTTTGAATTAACACTCATCATGCTTTGGCATCTTTATTATTTTTACGTGTCTGTGTCTGTATGCGTGTACGTGTGTCTGTGTCCCTTATGCGATATATCGTTTTTTTTTTTTTTTTTTTTTCTTATTTACTTTACTCGTTTCGTTAGCGTTTCATTTCATTTTTTTACTTCTTTCTTATCTTTCTCTTTTCTTCTTCTTCTTCTTCTTCGAATATTTGATTAACACACTTAGACAGTGATAGTGAAGTCTTTAGGTGATTTGGAAAGCGAGTTAGAAGGAAAACCCGTCCTCTTCCTGTGGAGCTTCAGCTTCATGTCGATATCGCACTCGGCCTCGCTGGTCTCGTGCGCGTCCGTGAAACCTGTCGGCGGTTTCAGTTCCAACGTAGACAGCTCGCTGCCCCAGTCCTCTTCCCTCCTTGCCATTCTGGACGATCCGGGTTCCTCCAGCAGGCACAACGATTCTACGGACTTCCTCGGGCTCGGATCTTTCCCCAGCCGATCGCAAGATCCAGGCCTCGACGGCTGACTCGGCGACGCTCCCCTCGAATACGAATGCATCCCGGATTCCGAGAGCTTCATCACAGGGCGCAGGATCCCCGGTACACGACCATCCATCCCCATATCGGGTGTTGCCCCTTGATTCCTGCAAATTTCATCGTTTCGTTTCTGAATCGAAAAAAATTTTTCAGCATTTCTTTTACGACCAATGTCTACCCTAACTCATCGACGAAAACAAGAATTTCCAGATTCTTTCTATTAATCATAATCTCCATGTGTTAAAAGATAAAAGTTTCTAGAGAAGTTTGAGAAATTTTTTTTTAGAAGATACTTTTCATCCAGGTGTGAAAACACGTGAGAAACAGACGACTGTAAAGATCGAAAAGCTATTTCGCTCGGTGGTGTGTCGTACCTTTGCTTCTCGAGCCTCGGGAAGGTCTTCCTCTCAGAAATTGGTGACGGCTCGGTTGATGTACTTGATTCGTGCGTGTGGTACAGCACATCTGGAAGGTGCACGCGAGACACGTTGATGCGAGAAACGTGAGACGTTAGTGGCGACTTGGATGCTGTTTAAGGCTGTTGCCGGCATCGACACAGAAAATCGAATACTAACTTACTATGATGAACCGGCCTCGGGACCAGGGCTAGTCGCTGCTCCCTCTGCCCGATCGAATTCGGCCCCGGCGACCGCGTCATTATCGACGCTGGCCCGGAGTCGTCCAGGTGATTCGATGACTCGGTGCGACTGCTGGTACCGACCTCCGTGTCGCTGTCCGAGCCTAGCGTGTCGTACTCCTCCGACTCCGACTTGAACGACTTCGACTTCCGCCGCGCCCTTCCTCGTACCTTTGTATACTGCTCCATGTCGCACTGCAACGTGTAAGAGTTACCTACGTTCTTTGGAACAAGTTTCGACATTAGACGCTATACACCAGGATATCAACAGAATATTTTATCAATTACATTTGAAACAGAGATAGTTCGATGCCAACGTGATTGCAGCAAACACGTATACTTTTGTATAATGTACAGGTTTAGTTTAGTCGTAGCTTCGAATTAAATTTAAGTTAAATTGTGCAAATTTTTGTCCGATTAACTACACGTCCGCCAGTGTACACGATATAATTCAACATACAGTTAGCATGCAATTACAAGAATAATTTGCTACATGCTGATCTTCGTACCTAGCAACTTAAATTTAAAGACGAGCGAATTACGGAAAGAAAGATGTTCGAGGCTCTCTCGAAACGAGTAACAAGTTTTCCCAATCACACAGAGGCAAGGACATTTACTTGCAAGCAGAGTCTCGCCAGATCTAACGTAAGCTCGAGCGCGATACATCAATGAAAGTCGCTTCACATTTATACGCGGCATCGAGTGCACGCTGCTTTGATCTCTCGGGATATCTGTCCTCGTTTACACAAGCAATATATCATCGACCTGATCTCTGCCGCGCGTACACGAGGATACATCGTTCGATCTCTCGATGAAGATACACGCTGGCTACGTCACGTTAGACGAAGGACGCGTGTGCAAGAGATAAATTCCGGTTTCTCGGTCGATTAAATTAAAAATCACTGGCTATGCAAAAAAAAAAAAAAAAAAAAAAAATTCGAACGAAAAGCACGATTGCTGTGCTCTCGAAGAAAAAAAGAAACACAGTTTCACTATCGATTCTTCGTGGATAGTTTCATTTCTGATCGGTACTCGTACCTGATTGCCTTGCAGCATCGTTTCGCTACGTTCGTAGTAGAACGCCTGTCGCATCGGGTTCGCCGACAGGTTTTCCTGCTCGGGCAGATTGAAGGTGGCGTACGGATAAATGTCTTCGGAATATTCGGGTATTCTTTCCAGCGCGCTCACCTCGCGACAGGGTGACTGCTGGCCCGGTTTCCTCACGGTCGCGTAGTACTGTTCCCTCTGCTCCATGTTGTGCTTGTTCTCCAGCGCGGCCTGCGTTTGCGAATTCGGATCGTTCGCTCGACCTGACCTTTCCGCGTCTGCAATCATCGTCATAGATTAGCACTTTCTCCCAACTTTTACGTAATTTTTCATTTGCGCCACGCGTGGAAGATCGAGAGGCCTAGAAGAACATTTGTCGTCTGTCGTAAACTCGAAGCGAGCAGACCATTCTCGTCGCAATATTCTCTATACTTTGTTGTTCGTGATTAACAAAAAAAAAAAAAAAAAAAAA